GACATGTTGTCACAAATAGTCCCTGTAGTTTACTTCGATTTTCAATTTCGTCCTTATAGTTTCATTCTGTTGGCTTCTTGAGTCTATCCTATCAAATAAGGCAAAATTTCTCCAATTTTGGTTTTTGAAATTAAAAGATGTGCACAAAAATGAATGGAAAGATAAAACTTGGTTTGTTTGGGACTGCTTACAAGTTGTTATGTCAAATGTAGCCAGAAACGGTTTTGGTTACTAGAAAGTCTTGATCTAAATTGAAAATACAACGAACCTACACCGACTCAAATGTAACAAAAAATAAAACGTGGACGAAAGTGAAAGTCCTGACAAACAACACTGACCGTTGTGCAATTTTCTCCGTATTTTATTGATGCCTAGATATTCCATTCTCTATGTTTGTGGTAAAACCAGATATTCCATTCCCAAATTTGGTGCATCTCATTAGCTGTAAAGATGCATGGGAAACCTTTTCCCGAAAATATATATATATATATATAAATTAAAATAAATAAATAAATAAAAATTAACCAAAAAGATGGATGATGAACTTTCAAGTTTTGGTGTTGGAGGACATGAAAAAGGTGATTTAAAAAAACATGCACGCTGTCTTGGAGGAAAAGTTGTGGTCTGGAATTGGTTTCCACCACTAGGGTACTACTATACCTAAAATAATATGACATTTGTTAGGGTTAGGGTTAGGGTTAGGGTTAGGTTTTTGCATATGGCATAATAATCCAATCAAAGGCATGTGGTGCACGTTGAGAATCAATGGATTGTTGGTACTAGTTTTTGTCATTGTTCCATGTTGTATGGTTCAACTTAACCCACGTACATGTCACTCAAAGTTTGGCTGAAAATGTCATCAAATCTAATGGAAGAGTGAATTTGAACTTGTGAGTTTGTTTGTAACGTTATCAGATAGAAGTGAGTTGATAATTGAATTAATTAAAATGAATGTCGTTTTATTTGATAAAAATATGACCTGTAGGATTTCAAGTATGAATGCATGATTCAAATTGACAAGTGTAATAACACATAACATAAACAAAATGTTCAATGATTTTCTATAACCATTAAATTTCACATTTATAATCCTTATTTGGCCTAATCTACAAAAATGACTACCACAAACTACTTCACTATTCTATTTCAAATTTTTTAATATAAGCGATATTGTATAGTACATTTGTTTAAATTACGGCAGAGATGGATTCAAATTTGGATGCAGAAAGAGGAAACACACTGCTCTAACTAACTTAGATAAGTCAAAATCAACTTATTTATGATATCTTTTAGGCAATGTATATAGCATAATCTAAATAGACGTTTATTGGTACTATATTCTAAAGTACAAATATCTCGTCATTCATATTATACCACGTGACTACTTATATTAAGCGATCAAGATAGTAGGACACAACAGTATTTTTTTGGCCGGTTCCTTTGCATTTTCAACTCAAATTTCGATTTGTTTCTTTTGATAATTACCATGTGATGGTCAACTTCCGGCTGTAGCTGACTTCTGGGCACTGAAGAAGAAAACAAACAGAAAGGCCAAGACAAATGCCTTGTTGAAGTAATTGTATTTACAACACAAATCCAACAGCTTGAATGGAACAATTGACAAAATGTTAGAAGGGCCATCAACATAATGGATATGGTTGAGCCATATTTTTATATTTCTCAGTCTATGAAAAAAAAAAAGGGGAGGATTTTTCACTTACTAAGTTTTTTCCTTTTGACAACTGATGGTAATAGTGGGTTAAATTGTTAATGTTAGATAAGAGGAAAAATGGTAGAAATCGAACTTGCACCAGAGTGCACAAGCATTTCCACCACTGCAAAACGAAAAAAGACAAAAACTTTTAATATTTTCTCAATAGGGACCGATTTATGGGCTTGAAAGTGAGGTTCTTTTTTTTTTTTTTTCAAATGATAGATTTTGTTAGATTAATCGGGATTTGAACTCACGCCATCATGTAAGAGCTTAACACCTTACCATCACTATGGTAACTGATAAAAGACCACTTACAAGTGGTTGGTGTTAAAGGATTGCCTTCGCCTGATATATATATATATATATATTTTTTTTCTATCTTGTAATAATGTAGCTTTCAACTTTAATACATGTTATTTAGACAGATTTTTCAATATTCACAAAATTCACATATATTCTATGTGCATTTTTAAGATGTTATTGTAAAAAAAATAAAATAATAAAATTAATACTTATAATAAATGAATATTACAGTTAAAAAATGGCCGAATTTTTCAAAGCATCTTTTTAGAAAAGTTGCTGAGTAATACACATATGTTTTTATGTACTATACCCGTTCCATAATTTACTAATTATGATTTAAACATAGCATGTTTATCAAATCATTCATGCGAATATGCCATGCACTTAGGGGAAAAAAAGAGACAATGACTTCAAATTATTGTAACAAAAAGATAAGTATTTATTAGAGATGATGTGAAAAAAAATGGGAAAACAACCAAAAGACAACAACAAAAACACACACAAAGGAAGTACATTGCCACTTTTCTGTATTCTTCAGGTTTTTATTGGTAATCTGCATGTAAGTAAATTGCAATTCAAGGAGTGAACGGGCTTTACTAAGTTTTGTAAACGTCATAAGGAACTCCAACATCACCTCCATTGTTGCTACCTTCCAAATTGCCCACCTCCATCCCTTCCACCACTGCTATTTCCAAACAGTCCGTAAGGCAGTCCTATTGTATCTGTTTCAGGATCTCTTATGCTACCATCATAAGGCAGATTCCCCAACACATTATTGTTACTTCCGTTAGCATTCAAATATTGCAGCATCCCGTAATCCATATGCGGTGTCGGTATATCATACAACTTCCACCATCAGTTACACCGAAATTTTCGTAAAACGATCCCATATTGCTTTCTTCGTTGTTCCGGCTAAAGTTTTCTCTTGACATTTCAAAATTACTTTTGGCATAACCTACATTACCACTAAAAGTCTCGTGCATCAACCTCGTATCATTTGGAACATGAATATTAGAAGTATTGCCAAAATATTCATGCAGTGACAGCCCCATATCGCTCATAACACCATTGTTACTACTATCAACAGTGGTCATGTTGCTAGCCATGCTACTACAACCACCATAATTAACCATGTTTTCGATCTGCTTCCCCTTTTCTTTTCTCAAATCATCAAATAAAGACTCTATAGGATTCCATCTATTCTAAAAGCAAAATTGGAAAATGAAACAAATCAGCGGTGCAAGCTGTTTTGGTGAAAAGTGGTTATGCATAAAAGTTAAAAAATCTATTACGGTTTTTCCTAATTAGTAACATATTTTAATTTCGTATATAGCTACTTTGCGCAATTTGTTATTATTAAATGCGGTATATAAAAAAGATATCTATGCTATCTAGAAGCCAATATGTATTTTAAAAGAATTAATTGTATGTATTATGCTACAAATTAACTTTATTCGGAAGGAAATAGGAGTGTGTTTAGGCTACTTTCAATCAGGATAGCTCAAGTCTAAAGGGCTAAAGGGCCAAAATAGTATTGATTTGTACAAAAATCATCTCCATCTGAAAGTTAGGCTAAAATTCAATGAAGCTCATCAGTTTAAAACATGGTTGAAAGGTATCGGGCTAGCCAAACTTAACCAAGTTTTAACAAAAACAGTATAAATGAGAAGTATGATGCGCCCACAACCCGATCTGCTTTAAACCATGCCCAATGTCAATGTGTAGGCACATTGTTAAAAATGTGATGAGACCCTCGTCCCCTTGGGGATGAATGTTCCATATCACAAACCAAATGGACTTGGCCTTCTTGTAGGGGTGCAAAATATGTTAGGGCATCTCCAATGAAAAATGTGTATTTTGCACTTTTGGTAGGTCAAAAAAACTCTCCAATAAAGAATGTAAAATCTACATCTTCGCCAAATAATGTGAATTAAAACTTCAATATATATATACACATTTTTTTTTACATTTTTTGGTTGTGGGTCATGCCAATCAAAGAGAGAAAATTAAATAGAATCTCAAATTTACACCTCTCTAATTGGAGTAGATCTCCCATCTACTTCCAAAAATGTAAAATGAAATGTAAATATAATTTTTGCATCTTAAATTTACATCTCGCCATTGGAGATGCTCTTAATTTGATTGGTATCTTTTCTCTCCTCTTGCCCATCAAAATACAAATGAATTGAGACTAAAAGTTATGAAGCTTAAAGCCGCTGGTATATTCTTCTTCCCTTATAGGTGAAAGATTTTAGGTTTAACTCCTCTGAATAACGAGTTTGACACTAAATTATTGTGACTTAGTCCAAATTTTTAACTCCTAGTGTAAATATTCATTATGTTTATAAAAAAAATATTATGTGCTTTATCCCTTTAATATAAAGTTGCTGGCCTGAATGTTCATTATTATGAGCACCACAGCATCCATTTAGTATATATAAACATAAACTTTTTATCCAAAGTTACGAAGAGCCATGTGCATGTTCTTCCATAGCCCATCATTGGAGAATTTGTATCCGACCACAATTACAACTTTCATGTCTACTTGCAACCTCACCACAATTCAGCATAATCAATTCCTAAACCCTATACTATTATGACATAATCCAAACTAAATGAGTCTAAATCTAGTTCAAGCATGATGTTATATCTAAAACAAATGCAGTGTTCCTTGGCGTCTGAAGGCGATTATTGAAGACATTCCGTGGATCGCTTCCTCTTTTATCCGGTGGATCGCTTCCTCTTTTATCCATATTTCTTGAAGCTATATTTTTAGAGAGGCAAATTTTCTTGTAGATGCTATTGCTAAGTTAGGCCGAGAGAATACTCATATTTGGGGATAGGTCGCTACCGCCAGCAGCGTACCCTGATTTTTTATTTGACAAACTTGGCTCCGGTTGTACTCGTGATTTCTCGTTCTAATGTATCTTCTTTCTCTTTAAAAAGGCTGTTTTGCAGTTGTTTAGGCTTTGAAACCGAAACGAATGGAATTGAAAACTTAACATTATAAATATTACAATCTACTATACATATCAGATCCCTACAACTGAAATTCTACAGCATCAAATTGTTAGTTCTTCATAGTTCGGACAAGCTAAGGCATCACAAACACTAAGCGTCTTACAACTCGAAAAGTTATAACAAGAAAACGGGAGACACTAGTTTAGTTTTCAGCAGCAGATGGAGCACTTAGTCAAACCATTTTCGTTGCACTCCGGACATCTAACGCACAACTCGTCGTGTTCATGATCACCATCCGTGAAAACTTTGCGACTGCCATTGCAATTGACGCACACAATGAAGCGCACGTTGGCACAGCCGGTGCATGGGGAGCTAGACAGGTTGATTGGGATTCCTTCTAAGAGCTTCTTCAGCCTGCCTTGCTCATGAAGTCTTATAACTTCTTCAGCTCCACCAATGTACCTTCCCTTGATGAAAAGCCTCGGAGGGATCACTTTACCGCCAAATAACGTCCACAACTCTTCCCTGAATTCCATGTGCATCGAAACGTCCCTTTCATACACTGATACTTTGAAACTTTCCAGCAAAAAACGGATTGCCTTGCAGTCCTCGAATGTTTTCCTAACGCCTGTCATGCTTGTTGAATATAGAATGACAGAATCGCCTCCTCCTGGCGGACACTTCTCTTCGAAATCTAACAAAGAAGGAGGTTCATCATCCTCATCATCATCCTTTGCATCATGAAATATGTCAGCCTCCACACCTGTTTCTTTGGTTTCCATTGAGGGTGGTGTAACATTCTCCTTATAGACAACATTAAAACCCAATCCCATATCTTCATCTTTGTATTCCTTAACTACAAGCTCCGCCGAGAGATTGTTCTTCCTCTGGCCATCTTCGTGTTTGAGAACAAGCAAAGACGGTGTTTGATGGTTCGGATTGGAGAACTTTTCCGCGGGATTGACCTGAAAGAGCAGGCCATGTTTCAAAGTGCCAATTGTTGGGATGGACTTCAGTTTCTTGAGAAACTTTCCTCTCATTCCTTTCATCTCTGACTTTTGTTTTGGTTCATGGAATGGCATGTGATATGATCACATTGAGAGGATCACAAAGAGTGGGTGGGAGAGGATAAAAGGAAGAGTGTTTTGGGGTGAAAGGGACTGGTCAGGAGATTGAATGTCCATAGTTGATGACATTTTCCCTTTTGGTTTCCGGTTGCTCCAAAGTGACAATTCAAAAAGTTTAAAGTGTTGGGATGCTTTCTAGAGTTTTCGGTGGGAGGCTGGGGCACCCCCTCTCCCTCCCTCTATTAGTGCTAATTGACCCTTCACCAAATATAATTCATGATTTATTAAGTGGTGTAATTGTGATTAATTCCACCACCTAATTTGAAGAGTAAATGACTCAAATACTCATTGATGAGAGGACATGGTTTTTCGGGTGAATAGTACCATGTTATGAATTTTAACTTTCCACATGGCAAGAGGTGATGGGTTATGGACAACGCCACCTTGGTGTTGTCCTCATATTTTATGTAGGTTATTTTTCATTGTAATTTATTAGGAAGAACGGATATGTCGAATATTCATTTCCTGACATATCTTGAGTTTACTAACTCAAGAAATTAAAAATAAAAATAAAAAAGTGGATCCTATGTTGAAATTAGGTTTGTCATACTTAAACAATTCAAGATGACCGATGATGGTTTATCTCGTACCTAAATAACCATGCATAAATCCCCACAAAATTATCTTTCATGACTTGTCTAAAATATAACATACCTTGAACAACCTTTTTATTTTGTTTTTAACCAACATCTTTCGTGTATGAGGTTGAATTCAAGATTTTCTTTAACTAAATAGAGAACGGATGTCATTACACCAAATAATCACGAATAATCACGAGAGTAAATTAATTGGTCATGTGTCACAGGACAAGAAATAATTCCGGGGAGACATGGTGTGCCAATTAGGCCATGATTGAATCTCAAGTGGTGTGCCAATTAGGTCATGATTGAATCTCTAGCAAGCAAAATCAAAGCTCTCCTTTTTCTCTTTTTAATTTTTATCAGTTAGGAGGAACCCTTCGAGAAGACAGCTAAAGTGAAACTCAAACTTTTTGTACACGCAATCACATCCGACCACGATGATACCCATCATGTTCAGCAAAACCCTCCACTAATTGTGCTAATTAGTAAACTAATTGTTTGCAAGTCAGATTATGCCCACGAGTTCGAATGATTTCGTATAAACATTATCATTTCATCTCTCTCCTCACGTGAAACGTCAGAGAGAAGACAGTGGTGTAAACCCGACATACCTAAGTTTTTTGGGCACATCAGAGAAGAGAGGTTATAAACCTGGCATAGCCAACTTTTTTTCCTCCGGCATTGACATTCCATGCGAGTACGTGATCGGACACTGACTGGGGATACAACGTCTTGGGTGGGCAGCTAACCCGTTTGGCAACGATGGGCCACCGTGACTGACGGCTGAAAGCAACCTAGTTCTCTTTAGGACATCAATACGAAAGTGAAGAATCCAAATTTGAGACCTCTTCGAACATTAGGAAGAAATTTACTACCAAACCAAGAACAAGTTCCACATATCCTTACCATACGAACATTCATTCGTAGCCATCCACCAATTTCTACATGGTGTTTGAATTTGAAGGACAGGTTTCTGAATGAAGTATGGCACTCTGGAGTTGCACATGAATTTGTGTGACGCCAGTGAAGCTATTCAGTGATTTGGCTAGTATAACGGTGAGCCGAAAGAACCAAAATAATTGGACAGAGCTTATCATCCTATGATCATACTTAACCATGCATACTATAACAAGATCTCGTATTTTAATTCCTGTGCCATAAACTTTCAATTGTCTCAACAAGAAGTAGACGGAATGATAATAACTTACACATCACAACGTACCGGCGAAGTTATTAGTATGGAACGAGAGAATTCTTCTTACATGCAGTGTAACGTTCTAGATAGCTATACCAAATGACCAACATTTGACGCACTTAACTATCAACCACAGATGATACAAACCCGATGTCAAAATCGAAGGCAATGCATGTCAGCTCATGTTTGTTTCCATCATACAGCCTCATTTTAAGAGAGTACGAACCCTGCATTTTACAAACTTGGTCAAAACACAGGACATTGCAGACGAATATAAACAAAGAGATGATGAAAGTGGCAATGATGACAGGGACAGAGTGATTCAAAAAGCAATTAGAGAATCCAAGAGGAAACAAATCAAACACAATGCATTAGCAATTTGATTTACGAAGCAGAATGACGTATATTATATACACAGATAATCCAATCATTATCCCATGAGCTATTTGCTACTTGTTCTCTGCAATTAACAGTGTAAATGCAACTAAAGAATATATTGACTCTAAAACACATGGATGATGACAGTAATTTTGCATCACAGGAATGTCTAATATATGGAGGTTGAGACTCATTTAAAGTCAAATCTCTACTTTCATAAGCAAAATTCTATAAACAGAACTGCCGTAAGTTATGATAAGTAAGCGGAAACTGAATTGAATATGCCTAAAAGAAACACATGACAAAGATTTCAGAAATGACATACTTCCTAGACAACTTAAGGAATGAACTAAAAAATGTTAGATAGATCGGATTTGAAATGCACTTCTTGTCATTACAAAGGCATATGAGAGGGATTTGGATATCACCACTTGGGAGGACCCAAATACAAACCCCTCATACATGCCTCTACAATGCTCATGAAGTGCATTTCTATTCTTCTTCGTAGTTTATTTCTTCCTCACTTGGCCTAATTCCCTTGGGACTTGGAAGTCCCTCGGACGAGCATAGCGTAAGGTTTGTTTTAAAGGATTACATAACTATCCAGAAAAGAGACATATAATGCAAAATTGAGGGTAGAAGAACAAAAAAAAACTCAATATGTTCAAATATTCTTGACGTAGTATCAACAACTTGGTTACAAAAAAAATCGCCATTGAATCCCCAAGACTAGGCACTTTGGTCCTATTAGGAAAAACAAAAAACCTTGATTCGCTTTATGTCCTTTTTGCACTACACAGAATAAGCGCGATGAGAAATATTGGCAAACAAGCAACACTTTCCAAACATGTATCAATACAGCGATAAACTGTGCAACATGGTTACCAAACGTGATAATAAGGATTTCAACTGTCTCCATTCCCTTTCTAATGTGACATGACAACCTAACAGTTAATATAAACTATTTCATTGTATTTCGGAAGGGATCACCTTAAACCTTGTATAAGCATAGATGGAAACCAACAATTAGACTCATACGCTTATACAAGTTTGTAGAGACAGCTCACAAGTAACACTGAGAAACTTAAATGAGGACTTACAGGTGGAGTATATCCGGGTAAATCTTGCGAGTGGCCAATCACGAAATCGCCAATTGAAACAGGGCAAGATGTTTCTGCGCAAAGGTCATGAGTCTCACTGTGGATGTGCCAACCAAAGTACGAAACCTCAATCACCAAGTTTCCTCCAGAGATCGATGTACCTGTTACCACATATACAAGTTTACTCTAGTCAAAACTAAACTCCCAAAAAGTCTTCAGACGATGTTCGATTATCCAGAGCCGTTTTTGTGTTTATCTAATAACAATGACAGGTAAACAAAAAGTCACCCAGAAAGTTTTAAGTGTTAGATAGAACTAGGACCTGTAGTTGCAGAAATGCTGAAGCTGGCAGGCTTGCCTCTCGCCACGGGGTAAGGAGTAATGTCAACCGCGGAGACCTTGACATCATAGTCAGCCTTCTTATCTGAACATATTCCAAAAATCCGCTCAAGTTTCATTTAGCCAACACCAGTACAACAAGAAATAAACAAACCATAATAAAATTCGACACCGAAACACCATTCCATTGAACCATGCATCCGATACCAAAATTATCGAAAGAGAAACAAAACCCAAATTTTATTTGTTTGTTTAAATAATCAAATATTGCAAATACATATCAAAGATGTTGACCAACTTCGTCTATTCAGCTCGAGAGTTTAGATGCATATACGTATTAAAGATTCCTTCTTGTTGTGATTGCATCAAAAACAGAAGAACCCAAATCAAATTTGACCACAAACAACGAAACAATCAGTTAAATTACAAAAAGTGGAAAACTTCCGATTTTCTCGGGAAACAAACGGAGAATATAAAACTTGTTCCGAAAGGAAAGTATGATGCTTTCATAAATCAAAGGAAAGAGAGAAGGGTTAGAGAGAGAAACCCACCGCAGTAGTTGACGTCCTTGGCTTGGATGAGAGGGGCAACCAGAGAGAGAGAAACTAGGAGGATGAGGGGGACCATGAACTTCAACTGAAAAGCCATATCTTCACAGATTGCGTTGCTCCGATTCTATTTAACAATATTATCTATAAATTATGCGAGAAATTAGAGTTTATAAAAGTAGAAGACAGCGGAGAGAGAGAAAGAGGAATTTGGATGAAGGAAGGAAGGTACGTATAGGAATAGGATAGCTAAGAAGAGAAGAGGAAGAAGTAGTCTGAAGGAGCGACGACTTTTTGGTTGGAGAAAGACAAACACGAACGGTAGTTGAAACCAATTAATAGAGACTTCTTATTTACGGTTTTCTTCGCTGGCTCGTGCTCTATACTTTTCTTTCTTTTCTTTTTTATTTAGGTTGAAACAACTATTTTCTTTACTAACTCTAAAAGTAGGTGTAAATACTTGACAAAACAAGGTGTAAATACATATTTTAATAATATTTTCAAATTCGTATGAAGATGTTTTATTAAAGATTTTGAAGTTGTCCTAATCAATTTAATTTTAATGTCTTATTTAGATATACTTTTACAATGACTATAAATCTTTTCGTGTTGCAAGTTGCTAACAATAATCATCCTTTAGGTCCCTTGTTTTGGCCTGCCGAGAATTGCTTCAAAGATCTTGGCAATGCGAACTTCGACATGTCTACCGGAAAAGGAATTTCGTTGTAAACAGTTTAGCGATCTATAGTCTTAATTTAGATTTAGGCAAATTTTATTTGGATACTCCTCCTTCTTATTCAGTTAGTTTCTTCTGTGAGGATTGACTTGAGATGTCCCGATTTAGATTTATTATTGAGTATGTTTTTTTGCGCCCTTGCTTTTAGCCCCGTTTTTCAACCAAAAAAAGAAAACTTTTTGGTGAAATTGATTTTGGATTTCAAAAGCACTTCAAGTGCTTTTAGAAGAAGCATCATATATGTGTTTCTTATAGAAAACATTTCACGTGCTTTTCCATGATCTACTTGAATTTTTACTAAGAATTGGTTTCAAAAATATTTTCACCAAAAACACTTTCAATCATTTTAAAAACTATTGGAATAGATCACAATCATAAGTATGGGTTGTAATTATCACTATAGCTAAGTTATGGGTTAAAGTGATGACTACAACCTTCCAACTTGTCATCTCATTTCTTATTTAACCATACTTCTCATTTGTCAATGTTTCTTTCCCTAAAATCTGGCATTTCCTTACTTGTATATTGTTTTTTTGTTTAGTCCTTGTTTTGTCCGATTGTTAGGGCAGAAATCATGGGATTGTGTAGTGGCTGAAGCCCACTATTTTGTAGTCAGTTTCTTTGGCTCTTTAAAGAGCTTAGATCTCTCCTTGTAAAAGTTTATGATCAATATACAAACCTTGAAATTCAATATAGTATCAGAGCAGTGACCATAGTGGCCTGTCTCTACATATCTTCTTCAACCTCTTTGTTCTTCCATAGCTGTTTCAAATGGTTGAGGACAACCCTCTCAGTCTTGATGTTGCAAGCTCTAGTGTTTCACCCACTTCAAATTTTACTGAAGTAGAAGTTAATCCAAATCAAAGACTCAGTTCAATTTTGCTGAATGAGTTCAACCATCTTCCATGGTCACGAGCAGTTTCACTTGCTCTTGGTGGAAGATCAAAGCTTGGTTATGTGAGTGGAATCATTCAGGCACCTGAAATCTCATCACCTCTATATGAGACATGGCTATGCAAGGATCAACTTGTCATGTCCTGGCTTCTCAACTCCATGGAGAGGAAGCTAGCTAAGATATTCAGCTACTCATAGTCTTCTTTTCATCTCTAGAAGAATGTTTGCGAAATGTATGGAAATCAAAACAATGCTGCCCAGATTTTTCAACTAAAAAGGGATCTTGAGGTTTGCAGCAAGCGAGTAAATCTTTTGTTCAACACTTGGGTGATATCAAAAGTATGTGGAATAAGCTTGATGTGCATAGGCCTCACACCACATATGCTTCTGTGCTTTTGAAGAGAGCTAAAGAACATAAGATTTTTTAACTCTTGGTGAGTCTTACCTCAGACTATGAAGATCTACGTAGTCACATTTTGATGAACAGTGAGTTGCCTTTTTTCTCAAGTATATGTGCCATTATTCAATATTAAGAAACTTGGAGGAAAGTGATGAACCTTGAAACCAAAAACAGCTTGCCTGAATCTAGGGCATATGTTTCCAACCACAAGTACTTGGATGATAGAAAAGACAAGGGTAAAAGGTTTGACCTGAAGTGCAAACATTGCAACTATGGTGGACATACCATTGACAAATGTTGGATTCTCCATTCAAGCTCAAGCTAAACTTCCAGAAGAACAAGGGGTTCCAGAGAAACTCACAACCACCTTTGTACAAGGCTAATCATGCAGCTTTAGCTGCTCCTTTTTCCTCAAGTGAAAGTTTGCTTGACTTCACTTCACTTCAAATCTAGTAAGCTGGATCAATGAGTTTGTTGTTTATTTACAAGGAAAAAAAAGAAGTGGAGATCTAGATAACACAACTGGGACTTGAATCGAAAACCCTACTACATTGCTAAGCAAATTTGCTGGGTTTCTTGCTGATTCTGATCATGGAAGCTCAAGTAACCAGATTCCAGGTATATTGAAAGCTTTCTCCATGGCTTTAAATGCTAGTCTTGTGCATGATTATTGGATAATAGACTCAGGAGCCACATACCATATGACAAACAAATCTTCACATTTATATGACTTTGAAAAAATGAGAAACTTCTCACAAGTGTCAGTAGAAAATGGTAAACGTGTTTCAATTGTTGGAAAAGGGAAAATTAAGTTGATCTTCGATCAAATAGTGTTAACAACCTTGTATGTTCCTTCCTTTCCATTTTAGCTTTTGTCAGTAGGAAAAATCACAAGACAACTAAATTGTCATGCTATTTTTTCTCCTGATCAGGTCACCTTTCTGGACATAGTCACCAAGAGGAAGATTGGTGAAGGTTTCTTCCTAAATGGGTTGTACTATCTTTCAAAGGATCCCCCAAAACCTAAGAGTCTTCAAGTCAGCTCAAACCCTTTTTAGGAACAACTACTTTGGCATCATTGACTTGCTCATCCTTCAAACCATGTTTTGTCCATTTTATTTCCCACAATGTGTAAAAGTAGTTTGGAGTGTGATACTTGTCACATCTCAAAATCTACTAGGTTACCTTTCAATTCCTCAGTGTCTAGAGCTAGTAAATTGTTTGAACTTGTTCATTCAGATATCTGGGGACCTACAATTGAATCTTTTGACGGTTATAAGTACTTTGTAACATTTGTGGATGATTATTCAAGAATTACTTGGTTATACCTTTCAAAGTGCAAGAGTGAAGTCATGAATGTGTTTACAGATTTCCATAAACTTGTAACAACTCATTTTGGTTGTCATATTCACACTTTAAGGTTTGACAATGGCACTGAGTACATGTCAAATAACATGTCTCAATACTTAAGTTCCAATGGCATATTTCATCAAACAAGTTGTGTTGGCACTCCTCAACAAAATGGAGTGGCCGAGAGGAAAAATAGGGATTTGCTTGAGAATACTAGAGCCTTAACGTTGCATATGAATGTTCCCAAGAAGTTTTGGTCCCAAGGTGTGCTTTCTGCTACCTATTTGATCAATAGACTGCCTAGTAGGGTGCTGAATCAAAAATCACCCTACAAAGTAATGAAAGGAAGAAAGATTGACTTGTCTCATTTGAAAGTTTTTGGTTGTACTTGTTATGTTCATATTGCTTCAATACATCGTGACAAGCTTGATCCAAGAGTTAGCAAATGTGTTTTCTTGGGATATTCTTCAACACAAAAAGGTTACAAGTGCTACAATCCTTCTTCAAGGAAAATCATCATCTCATGTAAAGTTTGATGAAACTACACATTTCTTTAACAATCAGTGGATGATTTAAATCAGGGGGAGAATATTTTTGAAAAGTTCCCTTTACCAAGTCCAACAACCAGTGATGAAAGTATATTTGTGTCCACTGATAGAGAATATGGGAATCCTCTAAGTGATGAAAAGGAAACTTTGCTAGAGTCATCAATTCAATCACCTATATCTCATTCACCTCCTGAGGATCCAGAACCATCACCTGTTTTTCCTCAAGGAAGAAGAAATCCTTCTCGTGATCGTCACCATCCTTCAAGGCTGTTGGATTATGTGATTTACAATGCAAGGTATCCAGTTGCTGAGTACCTTTCATACCAAAGAATGGCACCTAAACATGCAGGCTTTCTCAATTCCATATCCAATGCTTCTGAACCATGAAGCTTTCAGGAGGCGGTACTAAGTGGAAGAAGCCTATGGAGGAAGAGTTGAAGGCTTTGGATGACAATAAAACTTGGAGTGTTACCATACTACCATCAGGAAAAAAGGCAGTGAGAAGTTGATGGGTGTACAAAACCAAGTCTCATTATGATGGCACCTTGGAAAGACACAAGGCTAGACTGGTAGCTCGTGGCTTTACTCAAACTTTTAGGGTAGATTACAGGGAGACATTGGCTCCTATAGCTAAGATGAACACAATTCGAGTGTTGTTATCTGTTATTATTAACCATGCATGGCCTTTATATCAAATGGATGTCAAAAATGCATTTCTAAATGGTGAACTTGAAGAACAAGTTTACATGAAACTCCCTCATGGTCATCCTCAATCCAATGACTCTGAGTTGGTCTGCAAGCTGCACAAATCCATTTATGGATTAAAACAATCCCCTCGTGCTTGGTATTCAAAGTTAAGTTCAGTTCTTGAAGAAGTTGGCTTCAAGAGAAGCAATGCAGATTCATCTCTCTTTGTTCGAATTGGTTCTAGTGGAACCCTAGTGGTTCTTATTTATGTGGATGATCTCATTGTCACCGGTGATAATGCCAGTGAAATTGTGTTACTTAAGAACACTTTCAAGCAGAAGTTTGCCATTAAAAACCTTGGGACACTCAAATATTTCCTTGGCATTGAAATGGCAACTTCTAAGAAGGGAACGTTTTTGAATCAACGGAAGTATATTCTCGATTTTTTTCAAGAAGCAGATATAGTGGATTGCAAGCCTGTCTCTACCCCTCTTGACTGCAAACACAAAATGACCATGGATGGAGAAGTACTCATTGATATCAGTTACTACCAAAGGTTAGTTGGAAGACTTATTTATCTTACAATAACGTAAGCCTTGTGAG